TATCTATCTATCTATCTATCTATCTATCTATCTATCTATCTATCATCTATCTATCTATCTTTGTAATGGTCACAACTACCTTGCAAAGGGGTTTATCATCTGAGACTCAGAAAGGCAGTTTGCCCAACTGGTAGGTGACCCAGGTGGGTGTCTAGGCCTCTGTCGCCCCCAGTGCATGGTAGCTCTGCAGTGTCCCCAGGCCCCGCCCGGACTCACCTAGCATTCCCATGCCAAGCATGAACGCGTCCATGGTGTAAGGCAGTCCCCGGGCCCGGCCTCTTGTCCCCGGTGGGAACATGACTTCCTTAGGCTGAGCTTTCTTACATTCTACCTGTTCAACAGAAAGGCGAACAAATGAGATGCAAATGAATGTCACGTAAATGTCAAATGCAGAACTGATCTGGTTAACTGCAAAGGTATTTTTAGCCTTGCTCCTTATGCACTCTAGTAAATATAGCCATGCCAAGCAAATGGCCTGCAAGACAAATATTTAAGAAAACACTCCATTTGTTGCAAATCCTGCTTCGGAAAAACCGACAAGGATGAAATTGGGTTTGGAGGGGTGACAAGGACGTGGGCTGAAGACACACGTGCTTGGGTTGGGAGCTCAGACTGGGGCGTGCGCAGAAGACCTGGGAGGTGAGGAGGCAGATGGGGCTGCTGGGTGTGTCTGTGAAGAAAAACAACAGCAGTAGTAATAATCCCTCCTGCTCATTTGGTCCCTTACAGGTTTACAAATGCCTTTGTACCCCTGACTCTTCACATCAGGCCACCTGACTCCATTTCTTATTAAACAGGCCAGTTAGCTTTAGCTCCATTTCACAGATGACAAAACTGAAAGTCAAAAGGCGTGTGTAATGTGCCGTAAGCCACAGCCCAGCAGGGGGAGGCCTGGAAGCCGCAGTTTTCAGATCTCTAGGTCGGTGATGCCATGGTCTCCATAAAAGCCGCCCCAGCAGACCCCCGGGAGAAGTAATAACATTTAACACTGCTTCTGTCCATCTGGATTACCGGTTTCTCGTTCTGCAGCTACGTCTTCGAGTGGCTGCTAATCTTTCCTGTTTCCCTTCTGCCTCCTCAATTTCTTAATCCTATTCTGCTCACACAACCCAGAAGTCACTTACTTCCCAGCCTTAATGATAGATAATACAAGCTCCAGGAAAGAAGTAAAACTGTTGCCCTCGACAGTGCCTACGCCGTTCTTAGGAGCATGTGTCTCACACCCCTGCTCGGTGCTTACTTGCTTTTAGTTTACAGATAAACCTAACATGCAGCGTTAGCTGGTAACCCGCCCCATCGCTGACGGAGATAGGATGCTGTGGGGCAGGGCAGGGGTGCTTATGGTTGCAAAAAGAATCAGCATGACAGTCAGATAGTGAGGGGGTAAGGGCAAGAATGAGGTCGCGTATTTAAAAAGGGGCCGTGTGGTTTAGGAGTCAAAACTCCACGTAGCTCAACCACTGCCGAGGGTCTCCCTATCACATGGAAAATTACTATCGTTCCCAGGGTGTCTGAGATAGGAAGAAGTTAAATTGTGTGCCTTATACTTTGTTTTAAAGGGACCTACATGGGCTATCCATTTTGGAGATATGGATACCTCTCAGATCTTCTCATCTCAAATCTTCAATTAAAAAAAAAAAATGTTAGGGGCCCCCCGGGTGGCTCAAGTCGGTTAAACGGCCAACTTCTGATCTCAGCTCAGGTCTTGATCTCAGGGTCGTGAGTTCAGGCCCCGTTCTGGGGCTTAGTGCTTAAGGCTTGAGGGAAGCTTTAACTACCTAAAACATTAACTACTCTTCCTTCAGACACACCAGGTAACAGCTGTTACTCACTCTTGCTCTTTAAAGAACAACCACACATGCTTTAAAAACATGGACAAAATGGCTCAAAGTTCATGCCCGATAAGCGTAATACACAGTTTTTACAGGTTAAAAAGAGACGAGCATTCTGAAGTGAAAATGGGTGCAGGACATGAAGAAGCAATTCACAAATGACTAATAATGACACATATCTTTTGTATCACACGTCACGTATGACATCCCCAAACGAGACATACTGTCACCTATCAGATTGACCACGATGACAGGATTCCTTGATGTCAGAATCTCTGAGAGTACGGGGGGGAAGGGTGGGAGTTTGTGCATATTTTTTGGGAGGGCAACCCAAAAAACTTTCCAAAGCCATCCAAGTATACATCCTTTGACCTAACAATGCTACTTGCAGGAGTTTATCCTGCACGGATAAAGTGGATAAGGCTACCGTGGTGACAAGCATTAATTATGATTTTTCTTTTTTAAAGGAAATATCCTAAGTGTCCAAGAACAGGGAGTTAGTTAGCCAGGTCTGGTTCACCCAGGCTTACCGAAAGCTGTGAAGCTTCAGAAAAGCATGCTGACAGTAACATGCAATGGTATTGGGAAACCCTCAGTCCTGGGCAAACCAGGGTGGTTGGTCACCCTAAATGTAAGGGTGAAAAAAGCAAATTACAGTGACTCTGTGGAAAAATAAGTATATATGCATATCAAACAGGGGAAAAATATTAAAAAGACATACCAAAGTCGCTTTAGAGTGACTTTGTTCTTTCATTTCCATGGTGCATTTTGTTACTGGTGTTTATTTGCTGAGTTTTCTGCTCTGAGTATTACTGTTGCAAACAGTAGTAGGGAAAGGTGATTAAAAAGAAAGAAATTCATGAGAATTGGATCTTTCCGATTTCTCTCCTAAGCCAGGGGTGACAGTTTGCTCCTAGACGCTATCCCTGGGACTCAGAAGCAGACTGAGAAAGCTCATTTGCAAGAGCCTGCCTGAGCCTGGGAAGATGGGTGTGCTCTGCAGAGGCAGACAGATCATTACCTGATGCCAACAGCGGGATCTGGAATAATACCGCTAACCAGCTCACTTCCTAATGGTCCTATCGGTGACAATCTACTGCATTGTCTTATGAAAACCTGCCGCCTGTTCCTAGGCAACCCGATCAACGAAAATTTCAGGTTTATACAGTTTTCATTTAGGGAACATAAAGGTTAACTGACTGTAATGGGAGTATTTTAAACAAACCCACCTACTCTTCCTCTCACTGAATAGGGCTAGCAGCTCTGTTTAATTCTGCTCTGTCTTCGCTGGTGCTGTTTTGGGCAGCACCCACTGCGCGGGTTCTGTCAACCGCCCGCTGTGTCAACTGTGAGTGCTCTCCGAGGCCAGGGGCTGTAGCACATGCACTCTTAGGGGGGCGGGATCCCCACATCCTGGGCACTTGAGTGACAGGGAAAGGTAGCCACCGCACCAGGGAGCCTTGGCCTGGCCTGCACTGAAGGCTTCTCAAAAGATCTCCCAGGACCAAGAGGCCTGCCCACCCAGCCCCCAGCTCCTTTGAAAACATACAAAAGGGGAAAGAGGAAGAGCTAATCTCTGCTCCTATCCTGAGTCCTTGCAGGGGGTCAGGGGCTTGCTGAGCATGAAAACTACTCCCCCCCTCCCCACCCAGACAACCGAGCCTGGCAGAAGCCTCCCCTCCCCCATCAGACTGTGAGTTCTCAGGGCAGGGATCAGGGTCTGCCCCTACTTCCCTGGTTCCTTGTGACATCCCGTACAGAGCATGGACTGACGCACATGCTCATCAGGGTCGTGGAGACCCAGTCTTCTTAACCCAACAAATCTGAGGGACTCCATGTGCCCGGCAAAGGCTAGGCTGTGGGGGATGCAGACATAAATAAGGCCAGCCTCCACCTAGAGAGCTCTCATTCTGTTGAAAGGAACAGGTTCTGACTGTCTTGTTCTCCTAACATGACGGCAAGTACTCACGTCCATCTGCCCCCTGTCATTTCTGGGCCTGCCAGGCTCTGGAGCCTCTTGAGTTAGACCACATCTGGGTCGCCCCCGCACCCCCACTATCCTCCCACTGGGCCCCCTGGCAAGCTAGAGAACTGAGCATGAACACCCCCAGTTACAGTCAGAACCCAAAGGGGGAAAGCCAGCCGAAATCTGCCCAGCTCCAGTCACACACTCAGGTCATGTGGCCACACACGACGTGCCACGTATCTACCGCTGTGTACCAGGCTACTTCCAAACTTCGTGGCCCCGAGCAACAATGGACCATCCTTTCCCATGCTTCTGGGAGCTGCCTGGGCCCAGCAGGGCTCTTGCTTGCAGTCTTCCCTGTAGTTGTGCTCAGATGGTGCCTGGGGTTGGAGCTGGAGCCAGACAGGGCCCGGATCAGCTGGAGGCTCGAGTGCCTTCTCCCGCACAGTGGGCAGTTGAGGCTGGTCGGCGGGGACCGTCCACGGGGAGGCGCCTCCTTCTTGGCTTCTCCGTGTAGCACTCCCTCCCTGGACATCATGGTGGCTGAGTCCCGAGAGGGGCTGTCCTTGCATGAGAATCCCACGAGACCAAGGCAGAGGCTGCAAGGCTTCTCATCACCTAGGCTTGAGAGTCACACTGCCATTTCCATCACGTTCTGCTGCTTATGCTGGGACAGCCTAGATTTGCTGTGGGAGGGGACCACACAGGGTGTGCATGCCGGGAGGTGGAGTGCACCAGGGCTGGCCTCAGACACCAGCTACCACACGAGACTGGTGAAGAGCGGCGAGCCAACAGGACAGTGGGAGGCCCTCCCCTTGGGAGGCCCGTGGCGTCTGGCTGGCCGGGTTCTTGGGCTGGCAGGCACTGAGGCCTGCTTCCAGCATGGGGCCCCAGGCCTGGGAGCTCCCTACGGGGGCAGCTGCAAAGAGGCTTGCGTGGCTTCCCATAGTCAACAGAAGCAGTGGGCCTCTGGGTGGCCAGGCCTCTTCCTCTAGCTGTTTCAGCTCTGCCCCCACAGAACCCCATTTACTGTAAACGCCCTGCACCACCCACACCCAAAGTGCTTTCTCTCGGGCAGTCCTGGGTGGCGGCAGATTGTGAGGAAGGAACATCTCCCAAGTCTTGGTCCTTGAATCTCCTAAATCAATGGCTCAGCCCCCACCTCAGCAGCTTCTCACAAAGGCTATGGTTTCCAGTGACAACTGGAAAAAGCAGTGTGGTTGGAGGGCCAAGAGATTTTGTTGGAACTTCCATCTGGATCCTCAGAGGCCACCTGGGACTGACCAACTGCTCACATTAGGAAGACGAAGTCTCCATTTCAACTGTCACGGCTAGCAAAGCCACAAGGCAACCCCGCACCAGGGGCCGAATGCCAAGGACGTGCCAAACCCCCAAAGGTAGGTGGGATTTGCTTTCATTTTTCTATCGTCAAATATGCTGCTTTGCTTGGCACACTGGCCCTGGAGGAGAGGGGGTGGCTCCCCCATAGCCTGCAGTTATGGAATAAGAATGATCTAGCTGAAGCCTCTTTAACGACAGGACAGTTAGGGCAGCAGTGTGCTCCTCCAGAGGATGAATCAGAGGCCTGACGTGGGCTGGCACGTGTGGTTTCTGACCCTCTGTACCGGCTGCTTGTCAAGGTGGGGCGCCCCTGCCCATCACGGTCGAAAGCAACTCAGCAAGGAGGTCTGTTTCTAACTCTTTATGTAGAAATGATTCCACACTTGCAGAAGAGTTGCAAGGATAGTACAAAGAACAGTTCTATATGTCTACATTCCTATCTGTATCTATGTACATTTTTTCCTGAAACTTCTGAGAGTAAGATATATACACGATGGTACACGTTTCCTAAACATTTTCTTATACACGGATACAATGCTTTTTATCTATAGCCTTGTGTCAGTGGACCCGATGATGTCCTTTAGAGATAGAAATCCATCTTCTAGGACAGGAAGCTGAGGCCCAGGGATGTCAGACACCTCACCTGTGGCTGGAGGCCCAGGCCATGTGTGCTAAGGCTGGGTTTGAAGCCGGGTCTGCCTGATGCCCCCCATGGCTCATGCCAGGGGAGCCAGTCCCACGCCACACCTTCTCCTTGGGGGGAGGGGTGTGTGTGTGCGCTTAGCATTGGCTTTTGGAGAAGGCACAGGGACTTTCTGTGGGGACGGCTTCCCTGCAGCTACTCTGAGGGGCCGCCCTCACCCAACTGGCCTGCAGCCCTTGCTGAGGCCAGCTCCCTGCCGGGCACCTTTTGGAAGAGGCTGGAAGTCTGAGAATGGTGCCAAGGTCTGGGAAGTGAAAAAGCTTTTTGTTTTTCTCTGGTTTCTACATAAATAGCCCCAGTCAGCACATGGCCCCGGGGCCAGGAGGGAAACCATCCCAGCCTCGGTCTGGGGAAACCCAAGCCCGGTGCCCGTGGCCTTGATTTACCACCCAGGACAAGGCGACTCTGTGTGGCCTGGAGGCCAGTGTTTGCAGCTTCACTTCTCAGCCCAAACTGGTCAAGTTAGACATGATTTACTCCTCCAGGGGGAGAGACGCCCATCTCAAAGGGTAAAATTCACTGCTATTCAGAGAGGCCAGCCTGGACTGACTGGCTGGTGAAGGGAGGGGAACAAAGGGCAGGTCTCCCGGGCAGGTGGGTGCTGGGCGGGGGCGGGGGCGACTGGGAGCGTCCACGTGGGCAGCATCTTTTTGTAGAGCTTCCTCAAAGACAGAGGCCTGACCTGGTCTTGCCCCTAGATGAGCTTCTCCTCTGACTCAAACTGCAGCTCCCCCCCAACCCCCCAGTCAGGTTCCAGGGGATTCCAGGCCAACACTGCTGCTCTGAGGCCCCAAGCTGTCCATCTCCTCTGGCCGATAGGTCCCAAGCACTTTCCAGGGAGATGCCACTCCGGTGTAAAGACTTGGGGTCCTGCCTGGAGCCCGGCAGCTACCCAGCTCTCTCTGGTCAAACGGGAGGACTGAGCAACAGCCCAGAAACCACACCTGGCTCTGTGCACCGCCCGTGCTTCTCCCGTGGCTACGCCTTTCTCCCTCCTGCCCACTGTTCTCTCTTGCCCTGTCTGCCAGGCGTAAGCCTTTCTGGAGACACTAGGAGCGCAGAACCTTTCCTGGGGCTCTTACAGGTTCATAACCAAGACTCAGAGGGAACCTGCTCTCAAGGAACCCACAGAGCAAGGAAGACAAACACAAGGCGAGTGACTCGGGGGAAGAACAGAGTCCCTACTGTTGTGCCCTGTGCACCATACCGGGAGTCAGCCTCAAGAGCATGGTAGCTAATGGAACGAGCTTGAGAACGTGCAGGCCACTGCAAAATGAAGACGAGAAGCCCTTTATTCCACCATTACTAGGAGTTCCGAGATGGTGGCAGCCGAGCGCGAGCCCAGTGAGGGCTCTGCTGAACATGGGCCTCATATCCCGGAAGCTGGCCCTGCTCCTGCCAGCTGCTGAGTGAGCTGTAGGAGGAGGCTGATGGAGTAGCAAGGTGCGGGTGACAAGCACAGAAACAGCCCCGTGAGGGGAGGCGCGGTAGGGCTGGGGAGGGAAGGCAGGACCACGGCCCTCAGTGTGGAGTGTGGAGCTCAGGCTGGAGACGGGCCTGCTGAGCATCTCCCTCTGAGGAAGCTGCAGAGTCGGGTCGCCCTGTCTGGGTTCTAACAGCCAGTCCAGGGTTCCCATTCCGTCCAGTTGCGGTACTTGTCCACGGCCAGAGGCGGGATGGAGTCGCTGGAGGAGGGCCAGGCCTGGGGCACTGCCATGGGAGGGGCAGCACTCACCCCCAGAAATCCCGGCAGCTGCAATGGGAAGACCCGGCCTGGGACTCCAGCAGGGGAGGGTGCCTCACCATCCTGCCCTAGCCGCCCCCAGCCACCACCTGCCCTCCAGCCTCTGTGGGCCTCAGGAAGGCCGCTCAGTTGGGCACTGGGGGCACCAGGAGGTGAGCAGAAGGGAGTTCTGTGTTCCGTCCCCTCGTCTCTCCCGTCCCAGACCTCTGATCAAGGGCCATCCTCGTAGACGGGGACCAGCCTGTGGCCCAGCACGAGAGGACCCACTTGTACAGGATAACTTGTCTTGCTCTACTGCAAAAGGGTCCTCACAGACACGCAGCCTCCCACGGAGTCTCTGGCAGAAGCAGCTACTGGGTAAACGAGATGGAAACGCCAGCTTAGACAGGCAAAGGCCACCAGCAGAAACCTCCACCTTCCGAGGACGCACGCTTGCTATAAACGGCCCAGACCCATTTGTGAGAAGCACCGAGGGTCCCACAGGACATATAATCTTGACTCTATCTCCCCGGTCAGCAGGATTACTGTAGGGAGGAAGGAACAAATTGTTTACGGAGCACCCCTCCTATGCCAGGCATGACCATGACACCCTCAGGTGTGTGCGTGCGTATGCGCGCACGTATGCTAGCTCACGTACAGTATGCGTACACAGTGACATACACACATCATGCATGTAAGGCACAGTGCCTGGCACACAGCGGTCCTCAGAGACCTCTCCATACCCTCATTAATCAACTCCTCATTTCCTCTGACTCGGTCTACTTAGCCCTGAAGTTACGACAGGAAAGGAAACGGAGCCTCCGAGGAAATGATCTGCCCAAGGTCACACAAGCTACGGCTCAGTCCTAGGTCTCCTGCTTCAAACCCCCTGTCCCCGCCTCTGGGCCACTGGCCGCGCAGGTGCGGCCCTCACAGCCCTTCCTCACCGCCCTCTGTCCGATTCGCTTGCTACTCCTTCCACAAGGCCATCCTCAGCCTAGTTCCAGAATTAATTTTATCTGCTGTTACCTCTGATTCATTAAAATCAGCAACGACAAAGTGAAGGAGGTTATAAGCCAGTACTATCAGCACCTCCTAGTTAGCAGGCAGGGGCTAGGTGTGGACACAGAGATGAATTCAACAGGATGTGGCTCTCCCTCGGAGGGGCTCAGCATTTGGGCAAGGAGAGCAGAGGAGCTGGTCCCCAACACCCTCTGAGGCACGTGCCGCGTGACCGCAGCCTCCCACTCTGCCTCGATCGCAGGCCGAGGGCCTGTCCTTTCCACCAGCTCCTCGCTCTACATCTCTGTTCTGCTCACCAGCTGCCTGACTTCTCTGTGCCCCAATGTTCTCATCTGGAAAACAGAGCAACAGTGGTGCCTGCCCCCGGGGCTGCACGGCGCTCACAAATTCAACCAGCTCATCTTGGGAGTGCTCGAGCTGGATAAAGTTGGTTGGGTCACTCTTTAATCTTTGCCACGGGAGCCTAGGTGCGCGTCCCTCAAGGCGCTCAAGCCGGTCCGCATCTGTGCTTCCGTCCCAAAGCCTGGGGAGCAGAGAGGAAGAAGGGGACTGCCACCCCCCCAGCCCAGCAGACTCTTGACAGGCTACCACGGATTCTCCCCCTACCACCCCACCTCCCGGCCGGGGAGGGCCCCGTCTTCCTGCTTTCATCAGGGAGGTGGGCAGAAGGAGCTTCGTGGGCTGCACTATTTGGGGAAAAAGCTCACGGTGGCAGTGGCAGCCACTCTCTGTTTCTGGGAACCTGCAAGGGCATTTCAAAGTGAAAAGAAACCTCTGCCTTCAGCAGGTGCCCAAACGCAGCCACAAGGCTGGGTGCTTACCCGAGGGTGGGCTTTGCCAGAGACTCTGCACCAAGCCCAACCTAATTTCTCTATTTAAAAGAGAGAGAAAGAAAGAAAAAAAAGGGGGGGGCAGCCTAGCATTAGCTCCCTACAATGTGCCTGCGAATTTGGGCAGGGCTGCTGGGTGCAGTCAAAGGAAGAACAGGCCCCAGAGAAGGGGTGCAGATTTTTCCAGGGGTCTCCATGCCCCCTGTGGACCCCCACCCCGTGGGCTGTGTGTAGGGAGCAGCACGTGTGGGAAAGTCCAGAGGGCCTGGGCACCAAGATAATGAAGGCCCTCCGCCCTCCCCAGGCCCCCTGCAGTGACCTTCCCAGAGGACAGATGAAGGGTGAAGGAGCCAGAACTCAGGCAACCTCCCTGCCGGCCAAATTACTTCTGCCTAAAGAGCACCGTTCACCACCCAACACCCCAGCCTCCCCATGCCCTCCTCCCTCAGCACGCAGATCCCTCCACCTGCAGGAACACAGTCCGTACACAAACATGTGCGTGCCTGATGCAGGGGTGGGGGGCGCAGGACCTCCCTCTCGCTCGTAAACACGAGGTTCATTTATTAAGTGCCTCTCTGGCATTTCCTTTTTTGCCTTCATCCTGCTTGTTTAATATTGCATTTGACATTCTCATTTTATAAATGGTAACAGCAGCAGAATGGATGGCTAAAATTAGCTTACGAGTAAGGAGGATGCTGCAAATAGGGTGGTGAACACAGAAGCCTAGTTAAATCCACCCACATCACCCAGCCCCTGCCCCCCACTTTTGGGCTGGTTCCCGATCAGCTCTTAGTCGTCAGTCTCCAGGCTGCGGAGGAGTGGCCCGAGGGAGGGGATGCGTGCCCACTCCTGAAGCACCCCTGCCAGGTGGCAGCGCCCCATGCCAACCCTAGCTGGGGACTCCGTGGACCCATCTGGCCCAGCACCACAGCCCGAGAGGCCAACCCAGGGCTCTCCTGTTCTCTCATCCTCCTGCCCCTGCCGCCCCCAGAAGCCCCTGTTCTGGGGGCGAATTCCCCAGGTGTGCCCTGGGCTGAAGGTGGCAAGCCTGAGAGCTCACCAGGCTTTGCTTTTTGAAGTGGGGTTTTTGAAACTTCCCCCATGTAGGATTCAGCTGAAGGGCTGAATTGGCCTCCCTGGGACTAGGAAATCGCGTCAGCGGGACCCCTTCTGCTCTGTTCTGCAGGATGTGCACCCACCTGCTCTCCTCGGGCCCACCTCCCAGCCAGAGCATGGTGAGTACCCACACCTCACACCCTCCTCCCTGCCCGGGTCTGCACCCCTGCATTTCACTGACTTGTCATCTGTCCAGGACCCCCTTCCCTTAGGATGACACATTTGTTCAGTAAAAGGATCCTAAGAATAATGATAGTGATGATGACTAACAATAACAGTAAAGTGGCCTATTGCTTTGATAGAGCATGCTATGGCTGGTAAAGCCTGGTCCCAAGTCCTAACTCTCAGCAGTCCCTGAGAGAGGTGCCATCCTTACCTGTCTGACCGAGGGGGAGCCAAGCACAGGTGATGAGTAACCTGCGCAAGGTCACAAAGTCCAGCAATGAGGAGCCAGACGTACTAGGGGGCATTCAGCAGTGAGGGATTTGTAGCACTCTCTTCTGGGAAGGCCTCTCGGGTTGATAGCACCCATTCTGACCCTTCCGTCACTTCCCACCCACTCAGTGCTTGGGGTCCCCCTAAGAAGGAAGGCACTGCTACTTTCTGCAGGCTACTACCGCAAACCCCAGGATCTGTTTGGGGCACCGCTGACCCTCTCTGCCTCACGCCAGTAACATGCTGACTCTGTAGTGGACGTGGGTGAGCTTTAGCCTAAAAGCCTTTCCTTGGGTCCCTTGAGATAAGCACACTGCACCTGCTCTGAGCTACATCAGTATAGGCCAGGAGTTGAAACTGTGGCCCACAAGGCAAATCCAGCTGCTGCTTGTTTTTATAAATAAAGTTTTATGTGAACACAGCCACGTCCACCCACTTACTTATCATCAGTGGCTACGGTCTGCTCTATGATGGCAGAGTTGAGTAGTTGTGACAGAAACCTAGGGCCCTGAAAGCCTAAAATATTTATGTCTGGCCCTTTACAAAGTTTTGGGGCCCTTGGTTTAGGCCAAATGGAAGAAACTTGCGGGTATCAAGGGGGTTTTCAGGAGGGTGATTCCTTCAAGGCTACCAGATTATAGACCTTACGCCAGAGCGGTCCAAGAGCTCCCAGGGACAGGAACCAGACCAGGGCCTTCAATAAGCTTCAAAGGACAGTGGTCACCATCCTTCTCATCTCAGAGGAGGAAACAGGCACAGATAGGTGGGGTATTCACCTGGGCACAGGACAACCAGTGATGGATATGGGATTCAGGCTCAGGTCCACGTCTTCTAAAGCCCTGAGTGCCTCTAAATGACCCAGGAGGTCCTGTTCTGGGGACAAGGACATGAGCATTTTACTTGGAGGATCCAGCTCATCACCCCAGTGGATGTGCCTCAAACATCTTCAATCAATGCTCTGAGATCCTTGTCAGAGGGGGAGGGCATGCCAGCACCAGGGGTGCAGTGGGGGGGGGGGTCCCTGGCATGGACGGCTTGCTATGGCAGGGGTGCAGCGGGGGAAGTCTGGTGCCATGCACACAAAGGGAGTGTGGGGTGGGGCTGGGAGCAGCAGACCGGCCTGGGGACCCCATGGCAGGCTGGCTCATCCAGCTCCATGCTCCTGGGGTCTCAGCCCTCACTTCAGGTCCCTTCCTTCGATACTTGGCGATTTATGACCGACCCACAACTCCCACACCATCTCTCATTAGCAGTGATCCTTGCCTGGAGCTTCCCAGACTTTAAATGTGCACAGGCATCACTAGGGACTTGTCAAAATGCAGATTCTGATTCACTAGCTCTGGGGGTGGGGCCCGAGATTCTGCATTCCTAACGAGCTTGCAAAATGCTCAGGAAATTTCAAAAATCAGATCACCTCAATGGAGAAAGAAAAAGGACTATTTAAAGGAGTCCTATAGAAATCCTTATACAAAGCAAATAAAAACCCTATCTTCATCAGTCACACCAACCCAGGTTTTTCAGTTAGTGAGGTTTTGCCTAAGGTGGCAGCAGGGTAGAGTGGGAAGAACACTGGGTTGGAGCCAGAACACCACCGGTTCAAGTCTCAGCTCTGCCACTTAGAACCGTGGACGGTGGAAGTCCCTTTACTGCTCTGAGCTCGAGAGCCCGCTCTGTAAAACGGGGCGATGACCACGCACACGTAAAGGCCAACAATCCTGCTGTTGAGTCAGGGGTCAGAGGAGGTGCCCCTGTTCGGGCACCCCTCAGACCGCACCCCAAGTTCTCCACCAGCGAGGCTCTCCCCGACTCCATCTGAGGTGGGGATGGAGCCGGGCCTCGGAGAAAACCTGGGCAGATGGGTGTCACTCCCACCTCCCTCCCCAGGGCTGTGAGCTGGCGGGAGGCTGTGCCGGCTGGCGGCTCATCAAGCCCGCATCCCTGCTGCTGTGGCGGGGGGGGCGCACGGCTTCAATCAGGGGCCTGCGCTGGGGCTCGAAGAGTGGCCAGAGAGGAGGCCCTCTCTGGAGAGTCACCAGGTGGCTCTGCAGGTGCACTTCTGTGTGTTTACTAATAAGGAGCCACGTTTGCGCCTCACAATGACCCGCGCCAAGATGGGGGAAGGGGCTGAGTCCTGGCTCTCCCGACTTGGGCCCTGAGGTCAGGTGGCGGCCAGCTGCCCTCCTTACCTGTGGCTCACCTGCCTCCGGGGGAGAGGCCAGGAAATCTGTCACGGCCGACAGGGACGCCTTCTGCCCAAGCCTGGCCCTCCGCCCCAGCCAGGAATCTGGCCCCGAGTGAGCCCATCTCCTCTGCTCTCCTCTTAGGAGAACATGGGAATTCCATGGGCCACGACACAGCCGACTGGGGGAGGGGGGTGGTCAGTGGTCTTGGAAGGCTGTGGCCCAGTGAGATGACCTCTCAAGTCCCTTCCAGCCTGGAGGGGGTGCTGGCGTCCTGGGTACAAACGTGAGCTCTGGGCTTGAACTCTGGTGCTGCCTCTTGCGGAATGTCTGGCCCTGGGCAAATTGCTTAAGGTCTCTCTTTGCCTCACTTGCTTATCAGTAAAATGGGGGACAATAATCAGTACCTACATCAGAGCGTGTGTGATAGAAGAAAGAGATGCACACAGCGAGCTCTCAGCAGAGTATGTAGTTGGCACTAAAGAATGTGAACTATTCGTGAGATCTCTGTAGGAGGGTGTCAGGGGGGTCTTTTGTGGCCCTCCCCCCTGCTGCCACCAACACCATGGAGGTGACCTCCTTAAGGGACGTTCTGTATGGGAATGGGGGCAGGGCCGCGGTGATCCCAGCTTCCTGAGGGCAGCTACCCAGAGCCCCGGCAGGCAGAAGGGCTGGTGTCTGCTGCAGGCTCTCTTGGACGCCAGGGAAGGGCCCTCTTTTTTTTTTTTTTTTTTTTTTAAACACCCAAGAGATTCACCAACCAAATTAGATGGGAAATAGCCTTGGGAATTATGATGCGCCTCCCTGTCACATGGTCCCTCACGTAATCCTTTATTCATTCCACAATTATTTACCCAGGGCCCACTGAGTGCCAGCCAGAGGAGTACTGGATTAAGACGGAGAAGATTTGGATTCAAGTCCTATCTTCGTGACTCATCGGGGGGGCCAGACCTTTCTTATCTGTGAATACGAGAAAATGGTCGCTCCAGGCACATTTGGGGGCAGCACAGTAATCTGTCCCTGTAGAATTCGCGAGATTGCCAAGCTTCCAGGAGACTGGTCTTTACAGCTTCGCAAGCAGTCCAGTTTACAAAACACTCCCCCAGACCTTCTAACAACCGTCCGGGTTTCTGCTTGGCAGTCTCTGCGTTCTCAGAGTCTTTCCAATTCTTCATTTGAATTCTGTCCATAGCACAGTTTAAATCCATTTCCTTTTCTGTGGGCCTCCGAAGTTGAAACCAGTATCGCAGAATCCTCAGCAATTCCGGCTTTTTCAGAGGAGGACAGTGTGCTGGAGAGGCCCCTTCCGTGACGACGACACGGCCGACGGCAAGAGCTCACGGTTTTCAAGCTCATGGTTATCAAGGTGCTTGGCCTTTGCTGCTGGTACCTCCCCCTGAGGCCCAGGGACCCCACCAGGTGGCCACCACGGGCCCCATTATCCTGGAGCTTGGCGAGGCCTGGTGACCTTCCAATGGCCTCTTCCAGTACCTGGAATTTCCCCTTCAGAGCTGGTGACTGGTGGGTCAGGGCGGGGCACATACAAGGACACCTCCAAAGCCTGTGTGTGATCCTCACCCCTCCGTGCTCACCCCTCCTTCTTGTCTACTTCCATTGTTGCTATGCCCTTAAAGGACAAGTACCAGCCCCCGATTCAAAAGAAATCAGAAACCCTGCCACTATGAACAGTTACCTGCACGCACCCCTGTCAGCCTCCAGCTGGTGGAAAAGAAGGTGACAACTGTGAAATGACTGGGGACCAATGGCCACAAACCTCTCTGGCTTCAAGCCAGCCCATCCATGGGTTATTATCTTTCTGGGGCTGAAACTCTACCTTCTGATGGTTCCCCCTATGTCATCTGGGGATTCACCCTTGCAGCCCCCAAGCTCAAAACAACGTTCTGTGTTGTTCATCCAGCAGCCTGGAAGCTCAAGACCTAGGTTACTTTACTGCCTGGGGAGCCCTGGGGCAGATTCCCCTGAGCCTCAGTTTCCCCACTGGACCACCGAGGAGAATAAAGCTCTTTGTCACTTGTGCTTAAGGCTTGTGTCAAAGCCAGTCTTGTAGCGAAGGGCCGCACGTATGGATTCGAGTCCGCACACAGCAGTCTCTTGCCCGTCTGCACTGGGCCTTCCTGATGAACCGTCAGGTCCTGGCAGGACGGGAATGGTGTCTGCCGGTGCTCTCAGAGGCCTCTTTCACTCTCCAATGCCCAGGCAGTCCTCAGTGCAGCCTGTCAGCCGCACGCCTGGCTAGGAGAAGCAAGGCCTCCGGGCGCTGCGCTTACATTTCCTTTTAAGCCCCCTGTCTCCCTAGTTTTAAAAATAGCAAGTAGCAATCTACCAAAAGAGAGAAGTACCAACTGGAAGGCACTGAGTTGGGGGGTGGGGGGGGCAGGGGAGGGACGGTGTACAGTGCAGAGAACGCCGATGAAGGGGTCCTGTGTTATTCCTACACACTTATCTCCCTGGTACCATTTTAATGCCTGAGCTGACACCTCCAACCTACAGTATGCAAAGAAACAGCATTTTCATTTCAGATGCATATGATGGCTAGGAACAATATGAACAATATTATTTTAGTGTCCTGGGAAAAAATTAGCAAGTCAAATATTGAATCAGGCCTGTAGCACCACATGCTAAGCAGACTGCTTTGATCTTATCCCCACTAAAAGCTCTATTATTGAATTTAAAGTCAGTGAACACGTATCGGACCGATATACAATGCACATATGAACGCATGTTTCAGAAGCCGGGACTGTTTTGACTAAAGGGAGAAAATAACCAAAGTTACAGCTACAGTTGAAACACAAATTTGCCCTCCCTTTCTCATAGGGCTGGAGGCTCTGCTGGCCAACCAAAATATTTTGGCCCAAAGGGCCTGCTGATGGCTCCAGAAACACCTGCTGAGCTCCGATATTTTTGGAACCAACAAGGAAGGGGTTTCTCTCCCACCGACTCAATTTGAAGGAAGTGGAGACCTCCAGCAAGCCAATGTGTGTGCTGTGTTCATGGTATGGCGCCCTCTGGTGGCCACTTCTCTGGGAGGCCTACCTGGCTCCCCCAGCTTGCAATGATCCAACCTCCTCCCTGTTGAGGGGGGTCTTTCCAGAAAAAGGAGCTTTCAAGAGCCAAATGGGGGGATGGAAGAGGATGCTCATGCGGGTAAAACCAGCTAGTTGATCGGAAGGGGAAAATGAGAATGTTAATTACCCAGCAGGGCCCAAACGCAGAATGAATTTGGGTGGTAACCTTCCTACCTAGGAGATAGCCCTCAAAGAGCCAAACCAAGCAGCAAACTCGTGTCCTAAGCCACAGGTCAGCGAATTATAACACCCAGGCCAAATGTGGTTCCCCTGCCGGCTTTCGTACATGTACAGCCCAAGAGTCAAGAATGGCTTTTGTACTTTCAAATGGTAAAAATATAAATAGATAAATATTTTGCGACATGAGAATTACATGAGATTTCAGTGTCAGCGTCCATAAACACAGCTTTATGGAACCACAGCCGTATTTGCGCGGGACTGTCTGCACACGCTTCCGCCGTGGCTTTGAGAGGCTGTGATCGTTGGCTGCGCGGCCTGCGAAGCTGAGAATATTTACGACTCGGCCCTTCCCTGAGAGTCTGTCAACGCTTGCCATCCACAGGACTGAACCCTTAGAGTCTCGTCCCGGTGCCCACCCTGCCCAGCCTCTCGCTTGCTGACGCGGGCTTTCGAAGTCTGCAAGACAAAGCTGTGCACACCGAGGGGAGGGGAGGCATTGCATGCACCGCAGCGCGACCCCTACAAACTTACCATTTTATTATTGATTTCATGGAAATGAATCTCACAGACTTTCTCCACAACATCTTCATTCTCAAACGTGACAAAGCCAAACCCTACAGGAAAAAGGAAAACAAAAAAACAAAAAAACAAAAAACAAAAAACAGAGGGGGTGGTGAGTTCAGTTCTGGCCGGCCACATGTTTTTCTTTGATGTCCTGCAGCAGTGACAGGCTCCTGATCTAAGGGTAGGGGGCCGGATCCCTGGGAAGAGCCTCCAGGTTGAGGCAATGATTTCTAATTTGTACCGAGCACCCTTCCAACAGTGAGGAAAAGTTAATGATTTCACCCACATGCGGTGGGCGCTGTGTGGCTTACATTTGCCCCGAAGCAAACAAGAAATTTACTTGTCTGTTATTTACAAGGGTCAGAGCCCCGCGGCTCTCTGCGCGGAGGCAGGCGGGTGGGCCACCCCGAGCGGCAGCGGGGATCACCGCGGGGCCACGCGTGCCCTTTCCGCGCTGGAATGGCCAGCCCTCGGGGTCGGCCTCCAGACGGAGGCGGTTATTTGTCCTTTTCTTCCTGAATTACTTCCTCTAATACCTCATCAGGACATCCTGAGGCCTGGAAGAAACTATTAAAAGTTTCAGGCCTCTGTTCTACGCAGGCCTCCTTTTTCTACCGCTGCTTCCAAAGCGCTGCAGATCTGGGGCAGTTTAAGACTGTTTGATGCCTGCTGTCAGCCCGTCAGCCATCCACTGTATTTACTCGGCTGGAGACCGGCTTTGCTAGACAAGCTGTACTGAAGAATTTTGGCAGGCGACCGCTGCTCAGCATCCTGAGTTGCTCTCGCTACCCTCCCGCCCCTCGCTTTCTTCTCCTCCCGCCTGGGATGGAGTTCCAGGATGCTGCCCCATCTGTGACCCTACTCAGTAAGCACTGCTTTAACACACGGACCCACTCACAAGACGGTACGAACACCACGAGGGAACACACATGCAGCATGTGCAGATAGCCCAATGGGGAGGCAGCAGACTGGACTCTGCACTGATGAACTTATGTGGCAATCTGGGAAGCGCCTTCCCCACTCTGCGCCTCGAGCTTTGCACCTGCGGATTATGGTGGTGAGACTGACCACCCCTCAGGTCGCAGCCCCAATCGGGATTTGCAAGGCTCTCTGCTATGAACTAAAGGTTGTGTCCCCCCCCCACCCCTAATTCATATGTTGAAATCCTAACCCAATGTGATGGTATCAGGAGGTGGGGCCTTGGGGAGGCGAGTAGGTCATGGGGGTGGCGGCCTCCTGCATGGGATCAGTGCCCTCAGGAAAGACACAAGAGAGAGCGTGCTTTCTCTCTCCTCTTTCTGCTGTGTGAGGACACAATGAAAAGGTGACCATTCTACATGGGAAGGGGGCCTTCACCGAAACCCCAACCATACTGGCACCCTGACCTTGGACTTCCAGCCTCTGGAATGGTGAGAAATACATTCCTGTTGTTGATAAGGCTCCCAGTCTGTTGTCCTTTGTAATAGCAGCTCAAATTGACCAAGACGCTACTGTCCCCAAAGACATGAACCTGGCCCCATGCAAACCTGGGCCCAACTAGGAACACGAAAATCAGAATGGCTACTTTGTATTAGGATAGCATTCCCCGTCAATGAGTAAAAAAAAACAAAAAACAAAAAACAAAAAAACAACATACAGGTGTTTCCTCTTCGTGCTTCTGTGTCAAGTTTGGGTCCTGGAAACCCAGGGTGGAGAGACAATCTCTCCGGTCCCTTCCGTGTCTCTCCCCTCTGGCTCTCCCACCACTGTCTCTGAGGAACATCAGAGAACAGGCAGCTGATACCCTGAACTCCTCCATCATTGCTCCTGCAGGTCTAGAACACTCCTAGGGAGAGGAATGGAAATGGCCACTTGCTACTCTCAATTTCCAGCAAAACAGAGGGCTGGGACCAGCACACAAAGGGCAGCCACAGTCTTCATTAGGATATGTGCTTTATTACCACACACCAAATAGGGGGCCCAACAACACCATCCCCCAGGTTCCCTCTGTCTGGGCATCTCCTTCTCCTTGGCCCTTGGGGCCATCGACTATGTGCAGAGCTGTAGGAGAGCCACACCCAGAGGCTGTCTCCACATTGTTTCTCTTTGGGCCTTGGCGTGCTGGCTCCCTATGCCCTCTTCAAAGGAGTGTGAAAACCATCAGGTAAGCCTCTCACCCAAGCAGGCACCCCATCAGCACACAGGGGACCTGCATCACTTTGGTTAATCCCCTCCCTTCTGCCCACCATCCTAGAACCCAGATCCTAGGGGCCCCTCAAGAAGGGATTAAGATGGGGTCTTTGTCTGGTTTTGGGATCAAGGTAATGGTGGCCTCATAAAATGAGGTTGGAAGTTTTCCTTCCATTTCTATTTTTTGGAACAGTTTCAGAAGAATAGGTATTGATTCTTCTCTAAATGTTTGGTAGAATTCCCCTGGGAAGCCATCTGGCCCTGGGCTTTTGTTGGGAGATTTTTGATGACTGCTTCAATTTCCTTAGTGGTTATAGGTCTGTTCAGGTTTTCTATTTCTTCCTGGTTCAGTTTTGGTAGCTGATACATCTCTAGGAATGCATCCATTTCTTCCAGGTTATCTAATTTGCTGGCACAGAGTTGCTCATATGTTCTTATAATTGTTTGTATTTCTTTGGTGTTGGTTGTGACCTCTCCTCTTTCATTCATGATTTTATTTATTTGGGTCATTTCTCTCTCTCTCTCTTTTTTTTTTTTGATAAGTCTGGTCAGGGGTTTATCAATCCCATTAATTCTTTCAAAGAACCAGCTCCTAGTTTTGTTGATCTGTTCTACTGTTCTTTTGGTTTCTATTTCATTGATTTCTGCTCTGATCTTTATTATTTCTCTTCTCCTGCTGTTCTTTCTCCAGCTCCTCTAGGTATAGGGTTAGGTTGTGTGTTTGAGACCTTTCTTGTTTCTTGAGAAAGGCTTGTATTGCTATATACTTCCCTCTTAGCACTGCCTTTGCTGCATCCCAAAGATTTTGAACAGTTGTGTTTTCATTTCCATTTGCAAATGATGTATCAGATAAAGGGCTAGTATCCAAAATCTATAAAGAATTTATCAAACTCAACACTCAAAGAACCAATGATCCAATCAAGAAATGGGCAGAAGACATGAACAGACATTTTTCCAAAGACGACAGCCAAATGGCCAACAGATACGTGAAAAAGTGCTCAACATCGCTCGGCATCAGGGAAATCCAAATCAAAACCTCAATGAGATACCACCTCACACCCGTCAGAATGGCTAAAATTAACAAGTCAGGAAACAACAGATGTTGGCGGGGATGTGGAGAAAGGGGAACCCTCCTACACTGTTGGTGGGAATGCAAGCTGGTGCAGCCACTCTGGAAAACAGTATGGAGGTTCCTCAAACAGTTGAAAATAGAGCTACCCTACGACCCAGCAATTGCACTACTGGGTATTTACCCCAAAGATACAAATGTAGGGATCCGAAGGGGTACGTGCACCCCGATGTTTATAGCGGCAATGTCCACAATAGCCAAACTGTGGAAAGAGCCAAGATGTCCATCGACAGATGAATGAAGAAGATGTGGTATATATACACAATGGAATATTAGGCAGCCATCAAAAAGAATGAAATCTTGCCATTTGCAATGACGTGGTTGGAACTGGAGGGGGTTATGCTGAGTGAAATAAGTCAATCAGAGGAAGACATGTATCATACGACCTCAATGATATGAGGAATTCTTAATCTAGGAAACAAACTGAGGGTTGCTGGAATGGTGGGGGTGGGAGGGATGGGGTGGCTGGGTGATAGACATTGGGGAGGGTATGTGCTATGGTGAGCGCTGTGAATTGTGCAAGACTGTTGAATCACAGATCTGTACTTCTGAAACAAATAATGCAATATATGTTAAGAAAAAAAAAAGAAGAAGAAGATAGCAGGAAGGGAAGAATGAAGGGGGGGAAACTGGAGGGGGAGACGAACCATGAGAGACTATGGACTCTGAGAAACAAACTGAGCGTTCTAGAGGGGAGGAGGTGGGGGGATGGGTTAGCCTGGTGATGGGTATTAAAGAGGGCACGTTCTGCATGGAGCACTGAGTGTTATGCACAAACAATGAATCATGGAACACTACAGCAAAAACTAATGATGTAATGTATGGTGACTAACATAAAAAAAACAAAAACCTCCCCCCCCCCCCAAAAAGGGATTAAGATACAGTGCCCTTTAAAAGGTCCTCAGGGGAGGGAGGGGCAGCACGGCTGAGGATGGGGGGTGGGAATCTGCTAGCAGGGCTTCAAGGACAGCGGCAGGGCTGGGGCCTCATTCACTCTGGGTCCCAGGATGCACAGAGCCCCTAACACACAGAGAGGGCTGAGTGGCTAGTGGCTGGTGGGGTCTGAGTATCTTGCTAATCCATCTGCACCACTGCCTCCCCTCAAGACTGACTCGGCCCTTCCTTCTGCATTTACAGGTTCCCACCCTGCTAGGCATCCTGGAGAACCCAAGAGATCAGCAAGACAATGTCCCCTTTCTGAAGCAATTGGTTCCCCGAGTGGCACAAGTCAGAGGTTCCCACTCAAGGACAGCGTCTGGGCCATACAGACCCCGCCCCGCCCTTCCCTCCAGCCTGCGGGTCGTCACCCTGAGATTCTGTTGTCTCTGAAGGTCACCTCTCTAGCCTGTATCTAAACCCAGTTAACACATCCTAAACACATCCTAACCTATCCCTAAACAAGCCTGGACATGTTGGTACTCAGGGGAAACCTTACTGCTAATTAGGATGAGTGTAATGAGTTTAACAGTAGCCCCCAAAGGCGGAGTCCCCATCCTAACCCCTGGACCGGATGAATGTGACCTTGTTTGGAAAAAGCATTTTTGCAAACGTAATGAAGTTAAGGATCTCAAGAATGAGTGCGGGCCCGGATCCAATGACAGGTGTTCTTAGGAGAGAAAGGAGGGGGAAACTTGAAACCTAGAGGACAGAGCGGGGAGAGGACAGAGAGGGCCACAGCCACTAGCCCACTAGCCGAGGAACACCGGAGCCACCAGGAGAGCTGCAAGTGGCAAGGGAAGTGTCCCCGAGAACGTGCAGAGGGAGCGTGGCCCTGCGGACACCTTGTTTTTGGACGTCCAGCTTCCAGAACTGTGAGAACACAAGTTTCTGTTGTTTGAAGCCACCCACCCAGTTTTTGGTAATTTGTAACTGCAGCCCCGGGAAACGAGTACAGCAAGGTTACGGGGTTTCAGTCGTTCCCCCACGGACAGGTCACACATGACCTCCCCCAGCCAGGCCAAGCGTGTGCTCTGGTTAGAAGGCAGGAGAGTGTGGACAAATGAACCCAACCCGTCCGTGCCATCGGGAAATAACAGGAAGTCAGTGCCAGTCAAGGGCACCGCTCCACGAGCCAGAGGACAGCCTGGCTGAGAGCCAGCTTGCTGCTGAGCACAGGTCCTTAATCCTGGAACAGTGCCCAGGGTAAGTCAAGTCACCGTGGGGGTCACGAGTCGAGATGACCACCATGAAAGCTTTCCTGGGGCAGCCCACACCTTCCCGGTCTACTCTGCAAATCACCATCTGAACTCCAGGCCCAGGATCATGCAGGACCCCCCGCTGCCCCAGTTTCTCAGTCCGTGCCACGGCTCCGAGCTGGGAGCAGGTGTGACAGAGCTAGGAGACAGGAATCCAAATGCAGACTGTGCACCGGGAAGGGTGGGGGCAGGACTCGCTGCATCGTTTTGAATTCTGACTCTGATATTCTCCCCGCTGGTCCCTTCCCCTAACCTCACAGGACTCAAAATTTGAGTATCACAAAAAATGATTTTCCTGATCAAAGGAGAGAGGCTGGATCTCAAACCTATGTACCTTGGATGCATAACAATTCAGCGATGTCAAGACTCATTTGCAGTATTTTAAAGATCTATATCCATTTCAACAGCCCTGTTTGGCCCGAATAGAGAAAACAAACTTGATTGTGTCTAAAATATTTATGTATTCCGTTTGAGAAAGCAAAGAAACCATGAAACACTTAATTATCAATAAATGTTATTCCTTAACATATAATCATTTTTCCCTCAGAGGTGCATTATCATTTACAATGAATTAGTAACTCAGTGGAGAACCACCCCCAAATAAATTAAACCGAGGAGTGAAAGACAACTGGGTCAGAAATTTGGGAAGGAGAGGGTGGTGGGTGAGAAAAATCCTTTTTGGCACCAAAGTCTCCCTTTTTTGAAATTAATTTTTTTTAATTGGGTAAAATGTACATAACATAAAATTTACCATTGCAACCATGTTTTTTTTTTTTTTTTTTTTTTTTAGTGTACACTTCAGCAACAGTAAGGACATTCATGCTGTTGTATAATGATCACACTATCCATTTCCAGAACTTCTTTTTACCATCTTGAGCTGAGATTCTGTACCTAGCAAGCCACAGCTCCCCACCCCTCCCTCCCTCAGCCCCTGGTAACCTAGTTCTACCTTCTGTCTCTAGGAATTTGCCTCCTCTAGGCACCTCATGTAAGTCGAATCCTACAGTATTTGTCCTTTTGTGTCCGGTTTATTTCACTCAGCACAGTATTTTCCAGGCATTGTAGTCTTTTGAATGGCCTGCTGGACATACAGATTCTACCTGAAACTCAGGGAAGTCTGATTCTTCCTGAGAAGGGGCAGGAAGGACTGGTTATTTCCCTTCCATTTTCCCAAAGGAGAGCCCTGCAGAGAATCAGAAATGGAGCCTCATGAACGTGCACCAAACGGAGGTGTAACGGCCAGGTAAAAGAAACACATGGTTATCCTCACTCAAAAAAAAGGAAGGACCAAATAATGAGCTGTGTGCTCCTAGAGAGTCCCATGACCTCTCTGGGCCTTTAAAAGCAGGCAGAACCTAAGGGATGCATGGGCGGGGGTGGGGATGGGGAGGTGTACTGCTCTGGTCCCCGACAAGGCAGGGGCTGTGACCATGGTGGGTCTACGAGGGCTCACACTCCATCGGGGCCCCCTGGGGGTGCCCCTGTGATCACCCTCTGCTCGGGCTCTCATCTCCCTTGATCTTAAGGAGGCCTCACCTTGAAGCCAAAGAACTCTGTAGGTATTTAAAGTCACTCAAGCTGCCATTCAGAACGAAGAGGAACCCTAGGGACTGACAACTGGGGGGGGGCAAAATTTGAGGACAACAGGCTAGTTCACCAAAGAAACCCTCCCACCTGTCATCAGCAAAACGACACCTCCCCAGCCTCTCACGAAGCCCCCACCTTAATGGTACCCCTCATTTTAGAGGGGCCTCCAGGAGTCAGCAAAACTGGCACAAAGAGGGTGGTGGGAAGATGAAACCCCAAACAGAAAGGGTTTAAGAACGGACATAAACAGGAGAGGAGTTGACAGGGAGCATTTAAAAATGAAAACTCTACAGCATTTTCCTGAAAGAAGCTATTATTGGAAACTAACAAGTAAGCTCTATTTAAGAGATAAGCATTTAACAGTCAAACCTTTTTTCCCTCTTTTATTCAAATGAACAAAACTGAATATTCATCTGAATAATACAAAGCTATAAAACACACACACACAGAAGAAGAGAATAGAAATCTGAAAATAAGACACCTCAAAATTAAAATGACCTACTGCAGACACAGGCACTGAGGAACATCCGAGAGTTGACTTAAAAGAATTCTTTTTTAGGTCAGGGAGGGAAAGATGGGAAGGGCCGCCTCCTCACCTCAAAAATAATTTTCTTCTCTTATCATATAGGTCAATGAACACTAATAGGCAATCGCGTGGTGCCTAATGCATCTTCAGTGAAAATCACTGCAAGTCATGAGTTAACACACTTGGTTAACGGGGGAAAAAACAATGGAGAAACTCCCCTCCCCCTGACTATTGAATTTACTCAGAGAATCCCATGAGGAGTTTAAGGTATGTGTACACAAGTCTATTTATAACTCTCGCAACCTCCCTCTCTCACTAATAGCCCAGTGTTGGAGGAAGTGGTAGTATCCGCAGGCTGCTTTCAGTATAAATACAAACCTCTTGCGTTTGGGCGTGGGGAGCCCTTTCTGGTTTCAAAATGCTTCTCATACATCATCCTACCTGGTCCCCAAGTTAACACCATGAGAGGTGGGGCAGGCTCTGCCATCATCATTTTGCTCAACTGCTTGGCATCGTTTTAACAGTGTGACACGTGGCTACTAAGCCAGAGCAGGACATCTGGGACTTCCTCAGATCACTAAGTGTTCGAGATGGATTTGGTGGCCCTATGACTCAAGAGGGCAAGAGCCTGGGCCATGAGGCATGGTGTTTCATATGCCCCATGAGTCAACCACCACTGAGCTGTGTTTCGGTTAGTGATGATATATCATCTTGGGCTACTCCCCATCCCCAACTCAGAACATGTCTGGGTCACCTGTGTGGGCTACAGCAGGTGTGGCAAATCCGTTTCGTCTGCCTCGAAGGGTTTTCCTGGAACCCTGGATGGAGAAGGTCTGAGCCCCTGCCTCCCCGTGGGTCCATCGGGCAAAAAGAGCAGAGATGAGCAGTATTGCACAGATGCATGGCAGGGTGAGGTGGCTTCATAAGTCCTGGGTTTGCCCTAAAAAATATCTATATAACTCAGAAGATGGATCTGTTGCAAGAAAAAAACAAGCTGTCTTTCCAAAAGAAGTGACATGTTTCCGACCACCACTTTGGGATACTCACTGCATGTTACCCGGACATTCGTGAAATCCACTCTAATTTTAAGAGAAAGCTTGCCTACATTTGTTGAGCAGCTGCTAACTCAGTCCTCACGGCTCCTCCCGTAGAGCCAGAATGCTCCCGCTTGACAGATGAAGGACTGAGGCCCGGGTGGGAGCCTGTGCTCTTCCTACCACAGCCCACTTCCTCTGTATGAAGATGTCTCTGGTATCTCTTGGATTCTAAATTTGTCCTACAACCTGGCTCTTACAAGCCCGCCCTGTCACCTTTCCCTGAAAGAAGCTCTACCCAATGGGCAACAGCACCTCATTCTAACAACCCAGCAGGGGGCGGCCCAGGAGACAGGGGGGTAGAGATGTGCTCATCCACTCCAGTTGCCTGCTTGCCTCCCCCGCTGCCTGACACATCTGCGTCCTTCAACATAAAGGCAGCAAAGGGAAAACTGAGGTTTTTCAGAAGTACACAACAAAGACGACTTATAAAGAAAAACAACCAGGCTCTCTCCTAAGCCAGTCTAACGTAGGATGGGCACGAGGTGAGTGACTTCCCTGAATGTTTCCAAACCCCACCCACAGACCTGCCGGAAACAGGGCTGGATTATCAGGCATGATGCTGGAGACTTCGTGCAGCAAAATGCCTCCCTCATGAGTCAGCCGCCCCGGAGGGCTCACTTCCCTGGACGGGATAAGAACAAAGAACAGGGGCAGGTGTACTGACCCGTGCTGGACGCAGGACGCAGCCTCGGGGCTGGTCAGAACAAAGACTTGCGGGCCAGGAGGTCAGCAGAGGCAGATGCTTGTTACCACTCTCCCCTGTGGCCAGCAAACGTGCCTGTGATGAATTCGAGAGGCCTGCAGACATCCTTCCCACCGCCCCCCTCCCGCCCCCGGTCCCCTTCTACCTCCCTGACTCGAGCCAACAGACTGCCTCACTGGGAGACCCCACCTGACCCGGCCTATCCTCCCTGCCACGTCCCCTTCAGTGTGGCACTGCAGCCCTCCCATCGTGCATCATTCATGCACCTGCTTCCTCGTTTACACCAGTAGTTTGGCAGCTGGTTGCTGTAAACTATAATAAAATGCCTTTCCAATAAATGAAGGAATGTGACCAGACATGCCAGACATCATGATATTAAAGCCGTGTCAATTAATTTCTCCCCCTGCTTGATAAAGAAGCCCCATTCCATCTCTTAATAATGAGGAGAGAAACAAGAAAAGTTGACACTTAGTTTAATTTATTTTCTCAACTTGCCTGGTCATATTTCTTTCTGCCTTGCAGAGCCTGGCTGGGGCTGTGGGGGATTACAAGTGGCTGGCGCGCCGGCAAGGCAGAGATCGGTGCGAATCGACACGGGCCTCCCGTATTCCCACACACCACTTAATCAGGAGGGGAGAGGGACTTGGAGAGCCGGCTCACACCTGCGCCTCTCCAGCCATCTTTGTGGGCTGGGGGAGGGGGGTCTTGGGAACTGGGAGGGAGGCGATCTCAGGTGTGTGTGTGTGTGGGGGGGGGTCAGAAAACAGAAATGGTACTATCAGGTCTCCAATCCTGGGATGGAGTGTGCACAGAACCGCACAAGACTGAATTCCCTAAATTAATATTAAGCTACGTTGGTAGCATTTGCCAGAGGGGAGTCAGTTTCTCAACTGTTAAGGTACTTTTCTTTCCTCTTTAGCCCAAGAATGCTGGAGCCAACACGTGACCTTGAAATGTGAGCGTCAACCTTCTAAAAGTGGGACGCGAACCGTGAACCAGCAAGCATTTCAGGAAGACTTCAGTTACAAGTCATTTTTTCATATGGCCTCCAGACTGTAAACCGAGTTGGGAGTGAAAGTGAAATGTGCAGGGGGAGAAATTAATTGACACGGTTTTAATATCATGATGTCTGGCGTGTCTGGTCACATTCCTTCATTTTTTGGAAAGGCATTTTATTTCTTGATGTGGTCCTGTGGCAGTCTTCTGATGGGGGTGGGGCATGTTAGAAATGCAGGCCCCCCCCAATCGCCGGGCTCTCCTGCTTCCCAAGGTGGGCTCTGTGGACGTGGCCCAGGAATCTGCTTTTTAACCAGCTCTCTGTGGATTCTGATGCACACCCAAGTCTGACTCTGCCCCGTATTTCCCAGTTCAGGATGAGCTGAGTAGAGATCATTTGGTTAAAAATAATCCAGAACTTTTCCAAAAGGAAAGAGAATCTCTAGGCTTCCCTCTAACATGAAGAGAGAAACTAAAGCTGTTTTAAGAAACCTCTAATATCCCTTTCATGGACAGCTGGACCTCTCAGCCCCACGGGCAGTCCTCATCCAAGATAAGGCGAGATCAGGGGCAAAGAAGCAGCTTCTCTTTTCCACGCTCAAGAAAGGATGGAGACCAGTTCATACTAGAGTGTGAACAACTGATGTTACTTCCCTTCCCAGAGGTGTTAGTTGCTTTTGTGCAAGGATTTGGTAAACCACCAGGTTCTACGTTAGAATTCCAAACAGATATTCAGGGGGTGGGAGGTGTGTGTGCGTGTGCATGCATTTTACTGATGGAGGAGGCACCTCCTTCCGTCTGTGAAATTATATGCACATAGAGAGAACTTTACAATGGGGTGGTGATGGGGTGAAAAACCACCCTGGAAAGAGAAGGAGGGGAGGAAAAAAAGGGAGGGAGAGAAAGAGATTCAGAGAGAGGGGTGGGGTGGAGGGAGAGAGACTCCTCCATCATCCCTAAACAATTTTTCTTCTCTTTTTTTTTTTGGAGAGAGAACAAGCAAGTGCAAGTGAGGGGAGTGGGTGGGGGGGTGGGCAGAGGGAGAGAGAGAATCTTAAGCAGGCTCCTCGCTCAGTATGGGGGAGCCCGACAAGGGGCTTGATCTCACGACCCTGAGACCATGACCTGGGCCAAAATCAAGAGTCGGACACTTAACCGACTGAGCCGCCCAGGTGCCCCCCTAAACCATTTTTCTAAGAGAGAAGCCTGCCATGAATACCGATTGCGTGGTTTGAAAAGGCCTGTGGCTGCAGGGAACGAGGGGGGTCTCATTCCAGACTCTTGTTAACCGAGGGGGAAAATGCACCTGTGATCCAGGCCAGACAACCCCAACCTCATTTCATTCTGAGTGCGCTCCATTGCAGTGATTCTGTGAATGACACTTGTCAGGACAGCAGATTAGTTCACAAACCTATTTTTTTGTGCGTGGTGTTCCATCTTGGTTGGGAAAATAGTCAGTTCTTGGCGAGAGAGACACATATTACCGCTGTTAAGTGCCAATATAAACTCTGGGACGCAGTGGTAAATTCACCAAATTAAATCGCTAGACAACTGGCTCGGATCAGGACCCCGGCAGAAGGTGCCAGGGCGGCAGCGCGCGCCCAGCGGGGTGGAGGAGGCTGAGGTCGTGTGCACAGCTGGAGCAAGGGCACAAGGACGCGCTGCCTCCACGTCTGCTCTGGAAACCACAGAGCCTCAGGCAGCCCCGCCGAGCTCCGCAGGTAAAAACGTGTCCTTCAAGGCTTCTAAGTCCCTGGGCGTTCTGAGCTCAGGGGAGTTGGGGCACTAGCTAGAAGCTATTCCCCACAGAGGTATTATTTGGGTTGGTCCTCCCAGCCCCCACCCCCAGAGTGGGTTTCAAATCTGTCACCTTTGCTGACGCCCTCGGGCCCCACCCATGCGATGAGCATCCTGGAAGGTCAGGTGAGTCTCAACTACCTCAGTGTCCCCCCTGAGGGTGTGTGTGTGTGGAAATGGGCTTGGTCTTTGGATTTAGGTAGATCTGGGCTCAAATCCTGGCTCCAGCAATAACTGGCTGTGTGACTCTGAACAGGTTCGCTAACCACCCTGACCCTCGGCATCTTCCGTGAGACGGAAAGAAGAAATCTGCCTCACAGCTGGGATTGCTTGAAAACCCTTGTGAGGAGTCAGCTGTCCTCGCCCACCAACCAAACGAGACTTTTCATGGCTTCTCTCCTATCCCAGCCTCTATCTGCACACATACTTCCCAGCCCTGTGTCCTGAGACTCACTTGCTAAACTTCATTTGACATGTGTGTCAGAGAGATGTCCATGGTGCTTTACCAACTATCACAATGGGAACAAGATTCGGGACAGACAGAGATAAAACGAGTCATGTGGTGAATTCCCAGCCTTACTCCTTGAAAAGACCCCACTGTGCATCCTTCTGGGTCAAAACAAAAATCACGTACCACTCCCTCGCCCCGACCACCGACGCACCATCAGCAGCTCTCCAGCCTTTGTTCCGAGAGTCAGACTGCAGTCTGGCTGCTGAGGAAAAAGTCAAGGGCCTCTGTTTGGAGGGGGCTTCCCTCGTATCCTCGGAAGAGGGAACGTGAAGGACGAGACAAAGGGAAACGAAAGGGGAAGGTGGGGTGGACACAGACAACAAAACCTGGCCCGAAAGGAAGGGTCGGAAGCAGCCCCCCACCCCACTCACCGCAGTATGGAGAAAGGACCCCTCAGAAAAGCTTCAGCCTCCCCAGCAGCCACTTCAAGATGCCCACCTGCCTCCCCTCCAACAAGTCCTCGGGGAATGGTTACTGGCCTCAGAGAAGGTCCCAAAACTCCATCAAAAAACCACTACTTGGAAGCAGGTTTTCAGCGCCGCCGCAAATTATATGACTTTTATTATGAGGTATGGTTTCAGAATAGTCCCAACGGACAGAGCCCTGGCTCGATGCCCGCCATGCCTGCCACCCTCTCCGTGCCCCCCCCCCCCGCAGGGGGGTCATCTCTGCCGGCATCTCTGTGGCTCCAGCTGGCCATGCTGCCAGCAAGCCTGCGGGAGTTTGGGGTAGGGAGCTGCCCATCACGGTGGCTTTGTGGAGACACGTGCGCTTATTCACCGTGGAGTGGGGGCTGGCCTATTTTTGTGGTTGTTAAAGGAACTGTTCTTAACATCTGGAGACCAGATCTCTCTGTGAAGCTGAGAGCAGCAGTCCAGATAGCCTGGCTGGGGTGGCAGTTCTGCCGGGAGCAAGCTTCTGCTCGCTCTGCTCTGCTCCTGGGCTGTCCAGACAGCGGCCTGGGGCGGGGAGAGGGAGGAAGCGGGTGGAGAAGCAGGGGTGGGGGGCCGCTACTTAGGGGGACCCACATCAACCAGCAGCATCGGCACCACCTGGGAACTTGCTGGAAATGCAGAGTCTCAGACCCCACCCTGGACCTCCTAAACCCAAAGTTGCATTTTTAACAAATTCTCCAGGTGACTTACGCAAATTGAAATTTAAGAGGCACTGGTCTGGAACAATGATTCTCAACTGTGATTCCTACATCAGAATCTCTTAGGAAAAAAATTTAAAAATACTGATGCCCAGGCCTCACCCTCAGAACTGAGTTGGGTCTGGGTTAGCACGCCAGCATCTGTCTGTTCTTGAATTTCCCCAGGTGATTTGGATGTCCAGATAGGGTCAAGAAACACTGGAAAAAGGAAAAATGTATAGTGCCTAATTTTTATTTTTAAAGATTTTATTTATTTATTTGACAGAGAGAGCGGGAGAGCACAAGCAGGGAGAACAGTAGAGGGAGAGGGAGAAGCAGGCTCCCCACCAAGCAGGGAGCCCGACTTGGGGCTCGGTCCCAGGACCCCGGGATCACGACCTGAGCCAAAGGCAGACGCTTAAGCATCTGAGCCACCCAGGGGCCCCTAATTTTTATCCAAAAATAATTTCAGCTTTGCTAATTTTAATACAGGGACTGAAGGGTCTTAGTGCTCATAAGTGCCACACGCCCATGTAGCAGAGACTTGTGTCTTAGACGGTGTTTTCCAGACCTCTAAAGGACAACAAATGCTTCGAAGCTGGGGGAGGTCAGAGTGTCATTTCACTTACCCACCTGCTGCAAGCTTAGCTGGTACCTGGTGCTGCTCAGGCGTGACCAGTAAATGGATGTACAGATTGTGTGGCCTGGTTTTAAGAACAAAATGGGCCTTGCGAAGAACACCCGGATTGGAAGGAATACCAAGAATATAAGCACATGCCAACTAACAGAAAATGGCGGGCTGACCCTTCTCTGGCTCCCAGCAAGACTCCTCACCTGCCATACTGTGCCCCCAAAATGCGTTCTGATCAGGTGGGACAAGTGGCAGCCCAGAGAGTGAGAAAGAATGTGTCCCCCCACCTTTAAGAGGGGGAGAGAGGGGCCGAGAGAGGGGGAGAATTTAAGCAGGCTCCACGCCCAGTGTGGAGCTGGACACGGGGCTCGATCTCACGACTCCGAGACCATGACCTGAGCTGAAATCAAGAGTCAGACGCTTAACCGACTGAGCCACCCAGGCACCTCCAGAACCTGCTTTTCGAACGGAAACTTGTGTTGTAGAGAAAACACCTGGAAAACAAATGTTTGCAAACTATTTGTATTCTTCTGTGATTTGGTTGCCTTTAAAAAGCATATAACTGGGTCAGCCTACAAAGGCTCTCATCCTACAAAGGCTTTTAAAAGTTGGAAATAGAACTGCAAAACTCATTTTTTTTAAAAGAAAAAAAAGATTTCAGTGGATTTTGAACCCATTTGTTAAAAATATAAAAAATGCAACACTTGATTAGTTTGCGTGAAAAACTGATTGACATCAGGGAAGATGGAAATTTACAAGCTGAATTTCAACAAAATCCTTTGCATAATTGGAGGATGGGATTGAAAAATTAGTTTCATGATTTAGTCAGCACAGTGAATATACCTCCACTGGGATCTGTTTATCTTGTGAGGTGGATTTTTCAGTTATGACAGGCATGAAGTCCGTGCACCAAAATAAACTAACCTCAGAATTCATCCTGTAGAGTTGGATCATGAAGTGTTAAATCAAGAAATTTTTTTAAAAAGGGAAACCTATTCAACCACATTACCCTAAAAATCTCCAAATTACTAATAAACTAAGTAGGACTTATTTCAAATATATCTTATTCCTTTTGTATAGATTTATAATACACATATATTAGCAGAGTAGTACATGTAAAGAAACTGAAAATTAAGATATACTAGGGGTGGTGCGTGTGCTAATTTTTTTTCTGCACAGTTAGAAAATTTTGGGAGACACCTGCTCTACAATGAGAAGGTGGGGCCTTATATCCAGAACTCTGATTCTGAAGCCCATCCCTTAGTTACAGAAACAACAGAAAGTCAGAGGATGGGGTGACTGCCAGCTGGTGCGGGCCCTCAAGGAGAGGCCTTCGGAGGAGATATTCAGGGGAGTCCAGAACCAGCCAATTCCAGGATCTCCTGGGTCCTCGCGCTCAGCTCAGAGAGTGCTCCGAAGGCCCTGGGGAGAGGTTCACCCTCCAAACAGAGACCCCGGCTCCCCGAACGGTAATGGCAGCAATACCTGAAGTCTTCTCAATAAATTTTTCATAGCATCGTATCTTCATTAAAATTTTATTCTATTAGCATTCTGAATCCGAACCACTAAGTACATAATTGCTAAAACATGTGTTAAGCGACGACTTAGGAAATGCCGGTTTTATCATATTGTTAATTAACAGAAAGCAGGATTAATACATTCACAGATCATTAGGAGCATTTGGTTCCGTCTCCCCTGCTCTGCAGCGGGGAGGGTGGTGGGCGGTGGGCAACCCCAGGCGCAGCTCCTCGTGGCTCGCCCACTGCCCCTCTGCACGTTCTGCCAAGGTCTTTGGGACAAACTCAAGAAACAGAGACTCAAAGTCTATTTTGCCCAAAGGAAACTATTCCAAGATCTGGGATCACTCAGTGCAGGCTACTCAAAAGGCCGGACGTGGAAGGATTTGGGAGGAAGAGAAAGAGCAACACATCCTCTGAAGTCAGACCAGGGAGGCTCCGTGGACCACTGGGAAGTTTCCAGTCTCGACCCAGCAGATGTGGCTGAAATCGCAGTTGCGCTGCATTACTGGCTGGGCAAGCCATTAACCCCCCTGACCCTGTGTCTCCACCTGTAAAGCAGGAATAAAGATGCCGACCTCCCAGGGCAGGCATATGGACCGAATCAGAGAACGCACACTACTATCATCCCTGCACAAGCGTGCAGTTTTTATGTAAGGATCCTGCACCCAATACTGCTTGGAATAAGTGGGCCACCAGCTGAGACCTGAAAATGAATTAGCTATCCATAAATGCTGACTGCAGTGGGATGGGCTCTATAGTGGGGCTATCCCGAGGTGCCAACGCCAAGTGATTTGGAAGTGGGTTTGGACTTGCTCTCATCTCCAGTGGAAACCGTGTCATATGATCTCTAGGACCGAGGGGTTTATTCAAACCTCTGTCCACCCCATCCTGGGAATTATAGAGGTATTCAGGCAAAAAATGAATTAAATGTCTCCTCTTTTCCCAGCCATCCAAATTGCTTTAGCCTGGCACGATGGTGGTACTCCCAATTCTTCACACTTAATGATGAAATTATCCACCTGCCTGGGCAGCACACAAGACCAGCACTGGAAGTGCCCCCCACAGATGAGGGAGGAAGGAGGAGGCCAGGTATGGTGGTGAGGCTCCACCTAGGGTTTCCTGGAAGCTGGGGGTCAAGGTGAAGCCCTGGGTCAGAAATACGAAAGCAGTCAGGAAAAGCAAACAGGTTCTGCCTCAGCCTTCAACAATTAACTTCAGCTGGGGCAGGAGCCCTTCCCAAAGAGAAGAGCAGAGCAGGGCCAAGGCCAACTGCTAGGGTAATGATAAATCACTTTACCTAGCTGGAGCCAGGATAAAGAAATCGAAGCTAAGGGAAAATAGAAAAAAATAAATAAATAAATGCAGACCAGCCTCTGCCAGGCCCAAGTGGGAACAGGGAAATCACCTGGTTGCATTTTTTTTTTTTCTGGAACATTCTTTCAAGGCCCCAGGTACTTAGCATATCAAAGTTTCCTGTGTTGAGGCTTTCTCATATGGGTTATTTGTGATATAATATATAAATTATTTGTGAATTGTGAACGGAAAGAGCTCCCTTATTTGTAGAAAAGGTTAGGAGTAGAAAGAGCCTCCTTATTTGTGGGTCGTGAGTGGAGTCGGAGCTTTGGGTTCAGACCTGGGCTGTAACCCCAGTTCCACAACCGATCAGCTGTGTGAGGTCTCTCTCCGCCTCGGTTTTCTCATCCATAAGATGGGGATACTAATATTTTAGGGTAGCCGAGCATTTAAACAAGACAATGCCCACGAAGCTTACTTAGCACAGTTCCTTGTCCTGGTCAAACGGTAGAGCACTTGTGTCCCTCTGCGGATCTGGTTTTCTTAACTTATATCAACTTGCTGTATCAGCTCACTATCTTGACCCTGTGGGATGCAGGCTCCTGGAAATGGCTGCCTCTGTGCTTTGAGCCCCGCCTGCCCCACTGACCAAAAGGAGGCAGAGGGAGCTGGAGACTGGCCGAGAGGGGACT